GTGTGTGTGCCCTTGCTCATGCACTTATGCGCACATACATGCTGAACTTCAGTTTCCTTAAATAATCCTATTATCATTTTTTTTTTCTTTCTTTTTTTTTTTTTTTTTCTTGCATTATGCGGGCCTCTCACTGTCGCGGCCTCTCCCATTTGCGGAGCACAGGCTCCGGACGCGCAGGCCCAGCGGCCATGGCTCACGGGCCCAGCCGCTCCGCGGCACGTGGGATCCTCCCGAAACGGGGCACGAACCCGCGTCTCCTGCATCGGCAGGCGGACTCTCAAGCACTTCGCCACCAGGGAAGCCCCTATTATCATTTTTTTAAATTAAAGTTTCATCCCTCTCCTCTTGCAGCTCAGTTTCTGCAGGTGTGTGTTTTTTGTTCCAGCTAGTCTTCTGTTTTGGTTATTGGGACATCCTAGGTGACAGCAGACATCTAGGTACTAGAAAATAGAATTATATCAATCCCCATGAGTGCGGTGACCCTACCTCCCAGTTGTCTATAATAGTGCCAGATTATATCTATTGCCTTAGTGTAATTAGGAACTGTACCCGTTTTCACTTTCAAAAGTGTCCCAATTTAGGGAATTCCCTGGCCGTCCAGTGGTTAGGACTCGGCACTTTCACTGCCAGTAACTAAGATCCTGCAAGCCGCGTGACCAAAATAATAAAATAAAATAAGACCACTGTTTTTCACATATTTGCTGTTATTTTTTTTTCCTATTCAAAGGTGTTTTACCCAGGATTTGTATTGCCTTCATTTGGTCTTTGTTCAGATGTTTCCAGTTCTACCTATGAAGTGGTCTCTTTGTCAAAAGAGATGAACTTAAGTCTAATCAGTAAGCTGGGATGAAGTGAGAGAGTGGCATGGACATATATACACTACCAAATGTAAAATGCCTAATAGATAGCTAGTGGGAAGCAGCCGCATAGCACAGGGAGATCAGCTCTGTGCTTTGTGTCCACCTAGAGGGGTGGGATAGGGAAAGTGGGAGGGAGACGCAAGAGGGAGGAGATATGGGATATATGTATACGTATAGCTGATTCACTTTGTAATACAGCAGAAATGAACACACCATTGTAAAGCAATTATACTCCAATAAAGATGTTAAAAAAATTATGACATTTCATATCAGGCCATTTAATAAATATTTTTCAAAATGTGAACTGCAAAAAAAAGCCTAATCAGGCCTTTAGATTTAAATTTTACTTGATAGGAAACACATAGGCTAGAAGAAGAACTTATTTAATGACACAAAAAATAAACAATGGAGTGAAACTGAGCAGGACCCTCTGGGGTCCTCCTGGGCACAGATGCCTTTCTGTCATCCCCATCACCCCCTCCTTTTGTCAATTTTGGAAAACTTTCATAATAAAAAGCTACAAAATATATTCCCTGCCTAGGAGAAAAACCATGGTTTCCTGGTTCGCTTGGCTTATTCACTCACCAGACACTATTTATATCAGGAGCAGGATAGAAATATGTACTGAAATGTCTGAAGCCAAATGAATTAGAAAACAATTCAGGATTTTATATGTGCACACATCACAGTATTAAATTCCCTGCAATGGAGCTGTTTTTGTTTGCCATAACAACCACTATGTGTTTTTTTTAAATGAAGTTCAAGATATTTCGCTTTTACAACTTAATCGATGTGGGTATAGCCTTTTTGAAAATTCTTAGCATATTGGAATGAACCGCT